GACTCCGACTTTCTTTCATGTTCATAGACCTTGATAAGATGTTGTTAGAATCTCCAAAATTCGTCAGCTTATACATTAGATATCAGAGAACAAAACCTGCAAGTCAAAAAAGTTCTTATGCTAAAACTAAATTTTCGGCAACAAATTTAATTGACTCCGATGACAACTCCGAAAATGACTCCGTGCAAGTCTCTACCCGGGACCCATCACAGACCGTGACAGACAGGGCTTGGGACCCATCATAGATCGTAACAGAGAAACTGTAGTTCTAAAGCATTAGATAAACCGTTAGCTACAAATATATCGCAAAGAAATGGAACAAAACAATTTCCATTCAACTAGTAACAATAGATCCATCGTGCTTCACATTTTCAATCCCGCAAAGGATTGCGCTAACAGCTTTTTCAATACTTTTCGTAAAGACAAAATATTTGAAAATATTTTCTCTCTTGTAACTACTTGAAAAGCTAATTAGAATGTGGGTGAAGAAAAGATCTCTACAGCCACTGGCACATTGACCCTAAATATCCCTGTCTATTGACATTTTTTCAAAGATTTTCTCGGAATAGAAACTATTTGGACAGAAAGATGAATTAGTCTGTTTTCGTCCACATAAAAAGAAGTAGAACTTGATTCTTCATTCGAATCATGTGATTTGAGTTTCTTATTGAATTTTTATTTCCAATGCCAATTAAATATAAAATAAAAACACTCAACTTTATTTCAAAATATCAGATCCCAATAGATTGCCGAAGCTTTGAGAAATTACATTTATTCTAATTATAACAAATGAATAATACATGCTAAGTTGCATGGCAATTTTATGCAAAATTAGAGACGATTTACAGTTAATAACACACTGACGTGAGATTTTTATTTCTATTATTAGACATGAGTCATAACGTTAGAAGAAGAAAAAAAAACAATACCTTGTGAAACAAAAAGATTTACGATGTAGTCGAGAGAACGAAAGAAAAATACTGCTTTTTCTTATTCTTTCTGACGGATAAAAAGCTGCCACTACTCTTTTTTTTTCTCCTTTATAAAGATAAGAATATGAGTTTAGAATTATTAGCAAACGAACTTTTACTTGATTTATTCGAATATCTAAATGCTTGCAATCTTCTTCATGCTTTTCATGGTCTTAATGCTCGTTTTAATCAACTTCTTTTCATTCAACTTCAAAAATATTACCTCGATTTTCGTCTCATATCAAAAAATAATTTCGAATATTTTTGTCAACAATATCTTACCTCTATTAATAATCGAGTTATTTCACTTCATCTTTCCGATGATGTTGAAACACCAAATTTACCTCAACTTTTTCTATCTTATGGTTATCGTATCAATCAATTCATTCATTTGAAATTACTTTCAATTGACTGTATCTCTTCTTTTGACCTATTGAATCAAATAATATCTCAATGTCATGAACTTTCATATCTGACACATCTAAACATAATGATACACAACAATCAAGATCCAGAAGAAAACTTTCGTGATGTCATAAACAATATTTGGAGTCTATCAAAACTTACTCATTGTTATCTTGATATTCAATATCCATATGCAACATGGCTCCTTGAAATGACAATGATTTCACAATCTATGATATATTTGTCTACGAAAAATATATGTTATAGTTCATATAGTTTATTACATTTATTCAAACATACACCAAATCTTGAACGACTTTATATAGGTAGTATTGGTCAATTCTATGATCAACATATCCAAACTATCATTCCATCATTAATTACATTGAGTATGACTGCTCAATTTACACTACAATGGATGAAAAATCTTTTTCAACAAATACCAAATTTATGTTATTTAACACTTGAAATAAATAATATTTATTTAGATGGACAAGAATGGGAGAAGATTCTTACCAATTATTTTCATAATATTAAAATATTTCGTCTTAAAATGACAGTTGAATTTTCTCCTTTGGAAGATACAGAAGAACAAGTCGATCAACTACTTGATTCATTTCGAAGTCATTATTGGATTAAAAAACATCAATGGTTTGTTCGATGTGATTGGTGTCCAATGAATATAAATAAGACAGGTCTTCTTTATACATTACCATATACTTTTGATACATTTTATTATACAGATGGTAATCAATCGAAATCAACTAATTCGAATAGTTTCGATTATTCTTTTCATAATTCATTAAAAAAACTTCATCATACTAATCATAAAAGAGATTTTTCTAAAAATTGGATTCTTTATCCTGTTCGATTTTTTAATATTTCTCATCTTAATATCAGACTTCCATTCGATGATACATTTTGGTCACTTATTTCAACACTAGATCATTTAATTTCACTTGATGTTAAATTAAATCGAGATTTAGGTTATTCTCAATTACAAGTATTACTTGATCGAGCATCTCATCTCTATTCATTGCGTTTTTGTCATTTGAATGATTTCTCCATGACATCATTCAATATTAAAAGTAAATCAATTCGTCGACTTGAATTTTTTCAACATTTCGAAGTTCGTTTACGATATTTTAACAGTGAAGAATGTNTTTTACAATTAATGATCCAATCAAATAAAATCATATTAAGTACAAATCAACTATAGAAAACAAAACAAAATATACAAATATTTTATTTCAAATAAAGATCAACTAATTTGCAATTGTTTCTAGTACTTCCTCTCTTAGGCTTTGAAGAAAATCGTTGTATTTCATTATTTTCAATGCAATTAACATAATGATTACGTAAAGATTTTTGATCATAAAATAATGATGATGGAATATCCCCATAACAAAGAGATGTGGCGAAAGTTAATGCGAATAATCCACAATCATGACCACCAACTTGTTGCTGTACATTTTCAAATGATAAAACAACTTTTTCTTCACCAGGTAATATATCTTGAAAAAATTTGACTAATGATTCTTTTGGATAAGATAGAGAATCATGAACTTTCCAAATATTTTCAGATTCTAAATTTGCTACTGTTATCCAATGATTGCTGTTAGCATTGAAAATAAAGATCGAATTTTCTAATGAGCATTTATATAATTGTATTTGTGCCGGACCGCATAAACCATTAATATTGGGAAACTCTTTCTTCAGTAATTCGAAGAATAAATATATATGTAAATCAGTTAGCCACGTTGTGTTGTCGTATACATCAAGAACAGATTTTACTTTTTTATTACGTTTATACTTATATGTTTGAAGATCTGGTGAAACTTTTTATAAGTTCTTTTATTATTTCTTTCTTTATCAATTTTGTTATTTGTTCGTTTATAAGAAACTAATGATGTTTTACCACGAGGCCGACCTCGAGGATTGATAACTGGCGAATAACTTAAAATCAATTGATTTGTTGATAATGATTGATCTTCGTCTTTCGCTTCTTCTTGTGTTAGTTCTAAGTTTAGTAAAGCTTCTTCGTATTCATCACGCAATTCCGTTTCATATTCTTGTTCCAGTGCTTCTAGATTAATCTTCATATCTTGTTGTTTTTCAACTGTTTCTTCATTGTTGAATACTGTTTGTTTCGTTGGTGACTCTTGTTGTATATCATCATTTGACTTTGTAATAAAGTGTGGCTCTGTTTTACATCCTGGTTGCTCCATGTCTTTACATTCCAAATTGATTGCGTAATTATGCAATTCTTTAAATTTATTTACATTGATTAGATCTAAAACAATATTAAGAAAAGTAAGATGATCACGAAATTCTTCCGTTCCACATTGAGTTATACGAGCTGTTAAGACATCCAAAGTTGGCTTTACGATACTATACTTTTCATTAATACTTGAAGTTTGATTTTTCTTGGGTGCCATTTGAGTTGTTTTGCATTGTAAATTGAAATTTTGTTTACTGTTGTTATATGCGGTTTCGTTTAAATAATCATCAACTGTAGCTTTTAACCAGCGTTTATTAACTGATAAAATTTCTTCAATCGTTTTGGCTTTATCAATTGTTTCATCATACAATATGTCAAATAAAAATATCAGATGTCGGCATGGTAATTGATTCTGTAAAAAAAATTCGCAATCGCAAAAAAGCAAATCCTCATATGAATCACGATGAACAATGCTAGAAGTTATAAAATGTTTTTTATCGTCGTCTTTTTAACCAATTTTCCATTTATTCTCTTCAAGTTCTTCTATGAAATAATGTTTCATTTTTAATTCTTCATTCTCTTTACCCAATAAATCGATTGCTTTATTCACTAGTTGAAAACCAAATCGTTGAACCAATGTTGGATCATTACCATTGTAAATCTTTTGTTTCAAGTTGACGCATATATTCATTTCTTCAACTCTGGCATCCTCTGCAGCTAAAATCAATTTTGTTACACATTCTGATACGTGCATGTTAGGTGATATACGATCTTTCAATGTACGGTTAAAGCGTTCCAAATGGTTATTGGTATTCGTATTGGAGTTGAGTAGATTTTTCTGATACTTGATTTGCCACATTTCACAACAAGATAACCAATTTAGTTCAAAATATTGATAAAACTCAGTTTCTTCTGATTCAGTTCTAATTTCTTTCAAGTAAATTGCTGACATTTGATCATTGTCGTAAAGTAATCGACGAATATTTTTCATTATATTCATTCGGTTTGACAATGGGATTTAAAGTTTATGAACTTGTAGCTTTAAATATTTTAGAACGTGAAAGGTGCATAGTAGTATTCTTGCATTAACGAAATAATTTTGTAAAATATCAATGTTCGTTAAATCTTTATCAACCATTATAACCTGAGTTTTCTGTAAATCATTGTGATCACGCATTGCAGAATAAAAAAATTCTAAATTATCTTTGGTGGCACTAGTCATTAAACAATACGCAACAGGTACTCCTTTTTAGTTTGCGTTTTGCGCCATACATATGTAAAGTTGATAATTCTCTATATTAATTTTGAAGGTTGAATCGAGATGTAATATGTTCGGATACTTTTGAAGCCATGATTTCATTTGCATAGTTTGAATGTATAGACATTTTATATTTTCATTTTCATTCAGTTTGATTTGGATTGAATTATTTGGATTTTCATTTAAAATATCATCTATCAAAACTTGCAATAATTCTGGATCAGTTAGATTTCCAACCATGTTAAATTTTATCTTTTTTTTAAAATTATTTATATCTTTTCTAGTTAGATTAATATCATATTTTTCGTTCAATATTTTTCGACTATTATATGTTGTAGCGTTTGCACTAATCAGCGTTTTGCATAAGTCGTGTGCTTCTTTATTTTCTGTTAATCCTTTATTTCTTATAAATGAATAATTTTTGTAAATTCTTTCATCCATAGGATGATTATGTGTTAGGTTTTTGATGTTCATAAAAACAATTTTGTTGAATTCTGTATCATGCTTAATTTTTAAAAAAAATTCGCATTCAATTCTTGCTGATTCTTGATTTCGTGTTGATCCATCTTTGGTATTTCTTCGAACAGGACCACTATGATGACAAACATACTTGACATGTTCGTAACGAAAATGGTCGAAAAACTCCTTCATTGCTTTTTCATTGTACTTCTTCGATGAACGCTTAATATTTACAGGCTGATGATAATGATTGCACGAATTTAAAAACTGTTCTTCAAAATCCTTCCAAGTGTCAAATTGTTTGGTAAAAAATGAATTTTTATCGCCTTGCATGTGTTGTTATAAGACTTGGGATGAGGAAAGTATTTTCTATTGAATAATAAGTCAAATTTCAGTGATAATGGATAGGTATATAGTTATTACGAACGAACATTGGTTGGATGCATTCACTTAGAAAGTGTTAAAAAAGAACAACATAAGAAAGATTGGAACGAAAATTAATTAGTGCATATTGATACAGAACCGACTTCTCGCATTGGAAGGTAATTGGCTTTTTCTACACACTCATGTCTAATTTTGTAAGTCAATTAAGAAAAAAAAACAAACGTTTCTTTCCATTGCCAATTATCAGAAAAATTATGCATTCAATAGACAAGGAAATTATTAAGTTAGTGTAACTTTCTGTAAACCATTGTGAGTAATAAAAGACGACAATATTCCCCAAAGTCTAAGGAAGAAAGTACTAGAAGCAATTGCAAATTAGTTGATCTTTATTTGAAATAAAATATTTGTATAGTTTGTTTTGTTTTTTATAGTTGATTTGTACTTAATATGATTTTATTTGTTTGGATCTTTAATTATAAAATATGATTTGTAATTTTGTTTGATAGTAATCAATAATAAATGATTTATGAAATGAAACTAAAAATGAAAACAAGTATTAATATCCTATTTACCTAAATAGTTAAGTTCAAAGAAGATTATTTATAGCATGAGATTTACCAAATAGTTGGCTTAAACTTTCTGAGTGCACATAGCCACATGGCTATGTGTATCTGAGTGTACATAGCCACTTCCATTAGTAAATGAGTCATTGGATTACATATTGTAAGTTTTATTTTTTCTCCTTTCTTGTGATATGTTTGTTGTATGCTGAAGACATGGTCTTGTATCAAAGACTTGTAATGATATGGAAGCAAATGTATTTCTTTTTCGATTCAACAACATGGATCTATTCGTAATGGATGCCAGTTGCTTCTAAAAACCGAGGAAAAACAAAATATTTCTAGGGTATTTTTCGATTTTTGAGCTGGGGTCAAAAATGACCCCGGCTGGTAGTACTAGGGTTAAAAACAACGAAAAAAAATGACGTTTGACCAATGAATCTTTTCTTCTACTTCTATACTTTGAATTTTTCCCAACATATTACCTATGTCAACATCTACTACTTCCGAATTTGTTTTTATTACATGTGATTTCAATAAAATAAGTGGCGAGTGAGTAGTCGAAAAAAACTTTAGAAAAAAGACAACTACGATCGATAAGCCATAAGAAGATTTGATATTAATTGGATAGTGTTTTAATAGAATTTTATTGTTGATGAATATGGTGTTGAGAAGAATATCACTTAAAATAAGGAGTTTATATGCAAATATTTCAACCGAAAGCGATTGAAGAAAAGTTGTTACTGTATTCTATGAGTTTCGTTCTGTTTCATCCATCCTTCAGCGTGTCTTTTTTCAAAACAAGAATAGTAAACGTATGAGATAGACAGAAGTTTACTAATCTTTCAGCATTTTTTACAACATCATTTCATCAAAAAACAAAACGAACATGTTACATTTTTTTTCAATTGCTTATCCTACAGTTAATGCAATAAAAGGTGGCACGATACTCAAGTTTCCTACAATGAAACCTTTCATGTATCATTTCGATCAAAATAAATGATAAACTATACCTAAATTGAGTAGTATGATTAAGTAACAGACTCGCGAAGCTAAGAACTTTCCAATATGAACTCTCAGACGTACAGTAGCATGTACCCTAGTCTCAATCCTGTTCATTCCTTGAGAAACCCTGAAAGGATCTGTCAGGATCCTGAATCTCAAGGATCCTGCTAAGTTTTATTCAGGATCCTGTCTCGAATCCTAGAAATTCCTGTTTCCAGGATTTGTCGAGGTGAAACAAGATCCTGTTTAGGATTTTTTCAAGTTCCTGCTCAGATATTTTTCTGAGTCGAGATTTCAGGTTCCTATCAGGANTGGGTGTGGGGGTGTGGGTGGGATGTGGGTAGGGGGTGCGTGGGGACGTGGGGGGTGGGTGTCAATATCTCTTATTCTGATATCCGCATCCATACCCATACCCAGACCCACACGCACCCACACCTGCGTTTGGGGTTCCTGAAGAGTTCTGAACTCTAAGAACTCGGGCGCTGCTGACTAACACCCAGCTTTTGTAACTGAGCGGCTTGCTACCACTCTACAAACACCCACAAGCACTCGTTTATAAATTTTCCCAATTAGAATCGCGGAGGTCGGTTGTAGGCTAGCACCGCCTAGCATCCATTAACACCTATTAAAGTCACTGTAGCAGTACACTAGCAACCACCATAATACTGTAGTAACCACTAATCATATTTTGAAGAATAAATTTTCTTCAGATCTCAATATAAAATTTCCACCACATTTCTGCTTTCGGAGTCAAAAGTTAAAGGTCAAAAATGGAGCAAATGAAGTTGACTGGGGAATATGGAAAAGAACTCAGTTGTTGTGCTAATAACTGCTACAGTATGATGGTAGGCGTAGGTGTGCTGTTGCTCTCACTTCATTAGGTGCCAGAGAATGTTGTATGGTGTTAATGTACAACGGATCTCCTTGATTCCTTTTGAGAAGATAGATAAACAAGTGTTAGTGGGTGTTTGTAGAGTAAGGTAGTAGACTTCTGCCTTGTGAAGTGAAAGCCAGGCCTTCAGTTGACAAAGTTGGGTGATAGTGGGTGTCAGCGTTTTTCATTAACATCCAAAGAAAAGTGATTTGCTTGAATTTTCTTATAGTATTACTATTAGAGAAACTACTCCTCATAATGATAGATGAAGATCTTTTTCTTAGACCGCTGAATTCTCTGCAGTTGTATAACGAAGAGAGACTACGGTCACACCATTCAAACGAGCACCATACAAGGAGTATGCAAAAATAAAAAATTTTTCAGTGGAGTATGAAATAGTTGTGCAGGAAGTCAAACAAAGCAGGGAACAAATTTCACGCCGTTATCAAGGACACTGGTTGTGCTTGTTCCTTTTTAATCCGACTTTTGACATTTGCAATAAACACCATGGGGAATTATTCAGTAGGTTTTTGTGTAATGAAGTAGATTAGCAAGTAAAAGTCAAATTATGGCTCAACTCTGGGTCTATCTGCGGTGGGAATAAAATCATTTGTCGAAAAGCTATAACTAAGAAATACTTTTGATTTTTATAAGGAATTACAATGACTGCTTACGCTGATATTTTATTTCTGTAGGTAGATGTGTCGAGCAGTTGGCTGGCACTGTCTCTAAAGTTGTTTGGACTGTAATAGTGTCGAGAAGCGAAAATGACGATTGAATTTCTTTGAGGACAATCTTACAAAGACCATCTGCTTCTTCAGTATGATCGACTACTTCATATTTTGTTGCAGGAAGTAGAATAATTTCATTTTCGATGGGATTGTCTGAGTGTTCATGAATGTTCTTACCACTAATTGAATCAATGATAAACATAGTACGAGGACCTTTTGTCTTAAGAAATGCTTCAAATTTTGGGGTATTAACTGAAGTAGTGCATAGAAGAAAACTCCAACACATGATATTCTTCTTGTTGGCGAATTGCACACTAAGATCCATATTCACAGAGTAGTAGACAGTTCCACGCATAGATGGCATACGAGAGAGACCAGTAATAAAGAGCTTCAGATAGAGGAAAAATGCCTCAAGCTTCTTATTTCGATCATCTTGATCCGAGCAAAGATGACTGGTGAGAACAACATTGAGACATTTTTCCTTTTTCGACCAGTCGATCGTGTATAAGCGGATCGCAGCTGATTCTTCTACTGAGAGACCATCTGTAGATAAAGAACATTTGGCTTTTTCTTTAACATCTCTTGCTTGTCGATGAATATCTGATACGAGAGATACAAGAGGCTCAATCGCTCTTTCTAACGATACGAGTGGCTGTTGTTCATATCCTTTGATGGCCAGCAACATTTTTGGTGGTTCAGAAGCATTATCGTCGAATCGAAAACCTGTGGATGACGTGACCAGGTCCGCACCCATTATAGCCGAAACAAATTTCAGTTATTTATTCTAAAACAACAAAAGTCTTCATTTTTTTGAAAAACATTCTCATTCAAATCGTCTTTTCATTAAAGCAACATGAAGATAGAAGAACGGCATACATTGGTTTCTACCATTCTGTGCGCTTACCAGCTCGAAGGATACGAGTCTGTCCTGCACATCGTAGACGTACACAATAGAGACGAAAAAACTATGATAAGTAATCACAGTTGGCTTGTCGAACTCTTTCTTTTCTAATCTTCAAACGCAAGTTTACACAAATCTTCAACATATAGTTATCTATATACTGTAGGCATGAAAAATCTCAGCGTTCGGATGCAGATGGTTGAATGGATCCGAGTAGGTGATAGTCTGGTGCTCATGAATCCACACATGCATCCACAAGGGTGTGGGTGTATATCTTCTCATAAACAGCAACCACGCCCTATATATTTGGAAGTGGCTATGTACACTCACGAAGATTAAATCAATTATTTGATAAATCTCAAGCTATATATAATCTTCTCGGTACTTAATTATTAGTATAAATACGATATTGAAACTTATTATTAATTTTACTTCATAAATCATTTATTGTAATCAAATAAATTATAAATCAAGTTTCACAATAAAATACTCATAGAAAAAAAACTAATATTAATTAAGTACACAAATCAAGTATTACAAGCAGAAAAAAAAAGAATAAAAAGATTCTAATTCAAATAGAGATCAACTAATTTACAATTGTTTCTAGTGCTTCCTCTCCTAGATTTTGAAGGAAATGGTTGTATTTCATTATTTTCAATGCAATTAACATAATGACTACGTAAAGATTTCTGATCGTAAAATAACACTGATGGAATATCTCCATAACAAAGAGACGTGACAAAAGCTAATGCAAATAATCCACAATCATTCCCACCAACTTGTTGCTGTACGCTTGCAAATGATAAAACAACTTTTTCTTCATTAGGTAATATGTCTTGAAAAAATTTAACTAAAGATTCTTCTGGATAAGATAAAGAGTCATAAATTTTCCAAATATTATCAGAGTCTAAACTTGCAATTGTTAACCAATGATTGTTGTTTGTATTGAAAATAAAGATCGAATTGTCTAATGAACCTGCGTATAAATGTGTTTGTGCAGGGCCACATAAACCATTAATATTTGAAAATTGATTTTGTAGTAATTCAAAAAATAAATGTATATGTAAATCGGTTAGCCAAATTGTGCTATCGTATACATCGCGAGCAGATTCAACTTTTTTATGACGTTTATGTTTATATGTTTTAAGATCAGGTGATACTCGATTATAAGTTCTTTTATTATTTTTCTCTTGAGCAATTTTGTTGTCTTTTTGCTTATAAGAAACCAACGATGTCTTACCATGCGGTCGACTCCGAGGATTGATAACCGGTGAATCATTTAAAATCAACTTTTGTTTTGATAATGATTGATCTTCTCCAACTGTTGCTGCTTCTTTTCGTTTCAGTTGTAAGTCTGACAAAGCTTCTTGGTGTTCATCACGTAAGTTAATTTTATGTTCTTGTTCCAATGCTTCTAGGTTAATATACATTTCTTGTTGCTTTTCAAGGTTTTCTTCACCGTTAAATATGGTTTATTTTGCTGGTGATTCTTGTTTTATATCGTTTGGTGAATCCGTAAGGAGTTCTCGTTCCGTTTCACAATCCGATTGCCTCACGCCATTTGTTTTCAAATTGATTGCATAACTGTACAACTCTTTATGTTTATTTGCATTGATTAAATCTGAAACAACGTTCAGAAAATTAGCATGGTCACGAAATCCGATGGTTTCGCATTGAGTTATACGAGCTGCCAAGAGATCCAAAGTTGGCTTTACGATGCTATACTTGTCATTACTACTTAAAGTGTTGGTTTTTTTAGGTGCCATTTGAGATATTTTGTATTGCAAATCACAACTTAATTATTATCGTAATATGCAACTTCATTAAGATAATGATCAACTGTAGCTTTTAACCATCGTTTATTAATTGATATCATTTCTTGAATTCGGTTTGCTTGATCAAATATTTCATCATTCAATCTGTCAAACAAAAATATCATATGTCGACATGGTAATTGATTCTGTAAAAAAACTCGCAATCGCAAAATTGTAGATGTTCGTATGAATCACGATAAATAATGCTTGAAGTTATAAAGTGGTTTTTCTCTTCATCTTTTTGGCCGATTTCCCATCTATTATCTTCAAGTTCTTCCATGAAATAATTTTTTTGTTTTAATTCATCATTTTGTCCACGCAATAAATCAATAGCTTTGTTTATTAATTGAGCACCAAATTGTTGAACCATTGTCGAATCATTATCATTATAAATCCTCTGTTTCAAGTTTATATATGTATTTATTTCTTCAGCTCTGGCGTCCTCCACTGCTAATATTAATTTTTTTACGCATTCTGATATGTGCATCTTAGGTAATATATGATCTTTTAACGTTCGGTTGAATCGTTCCAGATGATTATTGGTATCTGTATCGAAGTTGAATACATTTTTACGATACTTGGTTTGTCACATTTCACAACAAGACAACCAATTTAATTCAAAATATTGATAAAAATCAGTTTCTTCTGATTCGGTTTTAATTTCTTTCAAATAAATCGCGGACATTTGATTATTATCATAAAGCAATCTGCGAATATTTTTCATAATATTCATTCGGTTCGGTAATGGAATTTTAAGCCCATGAACCCGTAATTTTAAATATTTCAGAACGTAAAAGACGCATAGTAATATTCGTGCTTTGTCAAAATAATGTTGTAAAATATCGATGTTTGTTGAATCTTTATCAACCATAACAACTTGAGTTTCTTGTAAATCATTATGGTCGCGCATTACAGAATAAAATAATTCTAAATTATATTTATTTCCAGTAGACATTAAACAGTAAGCAACAGGTACTCCGTTAAAATTTGCATTTTGTGCCATACAGAATGTACAACTGGTAATTTTCTATATTAACTTTGAAAGTTGAATCTAGATGTAATATGTTCAGATATTTTTCAAGCCATGATTTCATTTGCATTGCCTGAATGTATAAGCATTCTAGATTTCCATCTTCATTAAGTTTGATTTGAATTGAATTATTTGGATTTTCATTTAAAATCTCACCTATCAAGACTTGCAATAATTCTGGATCAGTTTGATCCCCGATAATGTTAAATTTCATCTTTTGTTTAAAATTATTTATATCTTTTCTAGTTAAATTAATCCCAAATTTTCTTTTTAGTATTTTTCGATTACCCTATGTCGACGTATTGGCAGTGATCAGCGTTTCGCATAAGTCGTATGCTTCTTTATTTTCTTGTAACTCTTTATTTCTTATAAACGAATAATTCTTGTAAATTCGTTTATTTATAGGATGATTATGTTTGAAGTTTTTAATTTTCGTAAAAATAATTTTTTTGATTTCCATATCATGCTTTATTGTAAAAAAAATTCTCAATCCATTCGTGCTGACTCTTGATTTGGTCTTGATTCATCTTTTATATTTCTTCTAACAGGACCACTGTGATGACAAACATACTTCACATGTTCGTAACGAAAACGATCAAATAATTCCTTCATTAGTTTTTCATTATACTTCTTTGATGAACGTTTAATATTTACTGACTGATGGTAATGATTGCACCAGATTATAAATTGTTCTTCAAACTGTTCCCAACTGTCGTATTGTTTCGTGAAGAATGAATCTTTATCTTCTTGCATATTTTGTTAGACGACTTGCGTCGAAAGAATTATTTACTGTTGAATATTAAGCCAAGATTTAAAAGTAATCAGCCAATGTAAGCGTATAATTAAATAAACAGAATGTTTATATTGAAGAATAAAAACGTAATAGACTTTACAATAATAAATAGATGTATAGCTACTATGATAAATAAGAATACTATATTGGTGCACTCGCTTTGGAAGTGTTAATAACGAACAATTAAGCAAAGGTTCAAGTGAAAATTAATTAGTGTATGTTGCCATAAAATATTATTGTCAGATTGAGAGCTAATTAACTTTTTTGTGTTTGTTCATGTCTAATTTTGTAAGCCAATCAATTAAGAAAAAAAATGAACAGCTCTTTCCATTATAAATCATTAGAAAAAATGTGCTTTCAATAGACAAGTGAATTATTGATTCACTGTAATTTTCGTTAAATGTTTTGAAAATAATAAAATACAACGATTTCCTTCTAAGCCTAACAGAGGAAGCACTAGCAGCATATTTAACTTAGCTGATCTTTATTTTAATTAGATTATTTTTATTCTTTTTTTGTCTGGTTGTAATACTTGACTTGTAATTTATTTGATTAAAATAAATGATTTATGAAGCAAAATTAATAATAAGTCTCAATATCGTATTTATACTAATAATTATGTACCGAGAAGATTATATATAGCTTGAGATTTATCAAATAATTAATTTAATCTTTTTGAGTGCACGTAGCCATGTGGCTATGTGCACTTGAGTGTACATAGCCACTTCCTATATATTTACAGAAATAAAGAAGAGTATACATGTATTTAAGCGCCCCCTCCCCTTTTTCAAAAACGTCAGTTTTCATCAGAATCGTCAAAATTGAAATAAAAGCATAGGGAGATAGCCTGCCATTTGCTCTTTTATAAACGATACAAAGTTTTCCTCGATACTTTGTTTTTTCCAAAAATTTTTCAAGTTTCCCGAGACCTCTATTCGAAAAGCCAGCGGTTTTTTGAAAACTCAAAAATCTTTTTGGTTTTTTCTCATTTTTCATTATCTCAAACGCGCATCAAAAATTTTTCTCTCTAGGTCCATCCAATATATTAAATTTTTTTTTTGCTTGAAAGAGCATGTAAAGACGAAGGTCATGACGAAGCCCGATTTTCTAAATTAGGCATTGTTTGTTATATATATATAGGCGTTTATATAAATTGGCAACACTTTTTCAAGGGCTTTTTTAGTCATCAAGGTTTCGATTTCCTTTTTGCGCTTGAAAAGTGGGTATTTAAAAAATTGAGCTTTATCATGCCGTGCATCTTGACACACTTTTTCAAACAAACAAAACTTAAATATACGTATAGTAAGAGTCCGGACCGAGAAATTTGGGATGCCAAATAACTTTTTTTTTGACCTCTGTTTGGTCAATATCTCTCTTAAAACTCAGCGTTTCAGGCTGAAAAATTTATCGTAGCGTTCCGACTCCAGGCCCAACATTTCCTCCAATTCTCAGACCATTTCGACGTTCCTGGGCTGAAATGAATTTTTGAGAGGGTCCTCAATAATAGTCAGTTAAATTTGATATCAACTTTGACTATGAGCAAATCATAAAATGCAATGTATGTATTGATAGTTTTATTAGGAAACTCGTTCAATGGCAAGATATGTCAATTGTTTTAAGCGGAAAATATAGTTGTGTGAAAATAGCGTTTGAGTGTTATTTCGATGGGAGACTCCGGTAGGTTGGCGGGAATACGTATTTGTTGCACGCGAAATGCAGTTCGATGAGGAACAATAAGAATTTCTTCTTCTGTAGGTACACGAGAATGGGCACCTACGTTCAACGCTTTTTGAGGCCATTTTATAATGTACGTAGATAAGACAGGCAATTTGCCTTCTTCTAAGGCCTGTTTTCGTCTCATTCTCATAAATTTCTCGGCCACACAGCGTGATCGAGACGTGGAAAGGAATCCTTTATTGATAACAACCGTGTTGACGACATAATCATCCAGTTCTTCTTTCGTTATCCACATACTGCGATAACATTTACCTCTCCAATTATCTATTTTATTTAGACGAGGATCTTTGACGACTTGGGCTGTAAATAAACGATGCCAAATGGACTTTGGTGTATCACTAGCCCAATGAAGAGAGTCTTGGGCTAGCTTTCTATTGAGATGGCGGTAAAATTGTTCTTTTTTCTCTGTGCCTTCCGCTGTGTACGCTTTAATAAATTGAATTGGGTCGTTGTCTTCGGCAGCCTTCAAGAAATACGATCGAACATTTAGCATCCAATCGGCATTCCGAACTTCCTCTTCATCAAGGATGAGCTTAACTATGGAGGAAATTTGAGGTTCAGCTTTCATATAATATCGATAATTGAACCGGGCAGTCTCAATCTCTGCATGACCCACTTTCGTCCATTCGATAGCAACTTCTTCAGCAACAAATTTGTGACCACCTGTTGCATCAGCAGAAGAGCTCATAAAAAATGGTTCTTGGATCTTCGGTGAAGATGCTTCATCACAAGATATCGCTCCTTTTTTCCGCAAAAGTCCGACGATCTCATAATGACCATAATGACTGGCCGCATGGAGTGCGGTAGAATCATTAGGCTCGATTCGATTGATTTCCTCGAGAGATAGTGTAGGAAGTAATTGTTTCACTATCGATAAATCTCCATCGCAACATGCACGGTAGAAAGCGCTAGTCATAGTGTGTCGCGGATTCTCATACACTGATAGAAAAAGTAAACTTTTTATAACGAGCAGCGACAAAATATTAGATAATAATAATGGTGCAGATAAGAAAAATGTTGAAAAGTGAGGTAATAGGGCATTCTATGTAACTGTGATTGTAAACGTAGACGACAGAGCGTTTCAAATCTACAATCTAAAAAGCAGCATCATTATGAAAATGTAAAAGTCTCATATTGGTACACTGAACGATTTTAGACTATATCGACAGATGACATTTTATCTTTCTTTTACTTTGAAAAAGTAAAGTAAAGTACAGATAAAGTGTCATCCTATTTTTCTAAAATGAAAATCGTTTTGCGATTTTTGTTCTGAACTTTTTTAAATTTCGTAGATCTTGCCAAGTTTGCAAGTTTTCGACGAAGCTGTTTATACAGGACGGAAGCGCATAACACCATGAATCGGTCCATGTCATATTTACTTCCCAATCCAGTTCATACAGGTATGCGGTGAAAGTACTCGTTTAGTACAACACTTTGACATCAAACTCAAGATATTACTACAAACTTACTGAGACCTTTACTCATGGGCCCAAATGTCATAAATTTTGCATTTCCACGTCAAATAAACTGATATTCTGCAATATCCTCGAGGATTTTGCATTCAAAATTGAAATGAACATTTTCTCTCGCATTACCCATTCGATAGAGCTTTTCGACGACTACAAAATGGCACAGTTTCAATACTCGAAAAAGTTTGGGCACGTGATGCTTGCCAATACAAACT